TCGAGAAAATCAATGAAATGTAAAAACACTTCTTTTTCGAGCATTTTTTAAATTTTGAACGCGAATTCCAGCCAAATATGCACGGACGAAACCATAGTAATATATCGATATTTCCTACATTCCCCAAACATTCAGCTTTCATACGCATCTTCTGGATTCATTCTATCTATTATAGTTATCGAGAAAATCAATAAAATGTGAAATCACTGCTTTTGCTAATAATATGCAATTCTATATTATGAATATAATATGCTCATAATTTGCAAATTAAAACTTTGCATCCGAATGATTCAAATGAAATAATTTCGAATTCCGTGTGACTTGAACTTCATTAATAGATATTATACATATTTTGTTTAGTCGAGTGTGTTTAGTCACGTTTTTTGTGTACTTTCCCGAAGCTCTCGTCCCATGTTAATCTCTTAATACCAAAGCACTATGGTCCTATGTGTGTGTATGTACTATTTCAATTTTTCCAAGAGCCGCTGAACATCTTGCCCATTACTCATTCAAATTGCTGTACTCCGAGAAACGTAACAATTTGTCTTGCACTCGTGCACACTTCTGCAAAAGATGAAAATGCCTTCGGTCTTAAGATTAACTTCCATCCTTCCGGCTGCACCGAATATATACAAACACAATGAACGCAGCACAATTTCTATCAATTCAGCACACTAATTATCAGTTAAACTTATCTAACTATTAGAACAGGATTTTGATGATGTATTACTATTTCTGCATAATCAAACCGCGGACTTGTTCTATTTGAGTTAATTTGCATACAGTTAAACAATAATTTAAAATTACATTTAAGTTCTTTTTCAATTTTCTCTCATCTCTTCTATTTCGTATTAAAGTGCATCGTGTATTGTTTAAGTTGTATAGAAAGAAGAAAGTGACGGTCAACTTTTAGTAAAGATATCCAGTTTCAGGATTTAGTCTCTGGCGTAATTAAGCAAAGTGTCTCGTCCTTCAAAGGACGCCTACGTAAATGAAATTTCGGTACGAACCCGATTTACCTAAATCTTCTCATCTTCTCATCCTCTTGGTCTCTAGTATACACCCTAAACTATAGACCCACAGACTATCTTATTACAAAAACATCATCGCGTCTACTTGTTGGCTAACATATTTCTAATTATTAATTTATATAGATTTAGAAACATTATGTTTTATCAATAAGTGTGTAGAGCAAATTATAAACTTTACATTTAAGTATGCCTTGGAACAAAAGAGCTTGAAACTTGTCTGCACTTTAGAATGTTGTGACTTTGAAAATATCAATATTTATCGAACATCGGAAGTTGTTGCAGCAGCAGCAAACATTTCTGAAAAGAGTCGAGACTCTGAGGGGAATCGTCCCCATTCTTCAACCCTTTCGCATAGACTTCCACTCTCTGACCAGAAGGGAATACACACGCACACACCTTCGTCCCCCTCAGGAACACTTCATCGCGAGCAGAAACCAGGAAAAGCAGAAACGTATCTTGAAGCAAAAAGGGAAAATAATAAGTATAAGTAACAGAGAAACAGAGATGGAAAGCCTGACGTGACTTGATTAATACGCGCCAATGAAGGAAAGAGGAAACAATTCATCGTGTTTTTTCGCTCTGCTTTTAATTTTCCTTCGAGAAAAAAAAAGAAGAAACAATTACATTTGTTTTGCCTTTATATATGATATGAATGACTTCAAAAACAAACAAAAAAACAAAACGTTACAACTGTTTTGATTATTTTACTCCTTCAAATTGAGGTTAATGTTTTTCATAAAGCTTTGACACTTTTGACAGTTGAATAGTTTTTATTTTGACATTTAGAAACTCTCCATTAAACAGTGCGAACAACCAAACAAAACAAAAAAACTAATTATACGATGAATAGGAGATTAGTAGTGGTAGTGGTTGCTAATTCCTGTAAATTAAATTTAAGGTTAATGCTGAGGGCAGGAAATCCCCCATTTTTACATCAATTTACATTTTTTATCTGGACGCACAAAAAGGGGGCAACTGTCATTATTCCACTGGAATTTATTAAAATTAGAAACACCCAAGTTTTCTCCTCGTATTCTCCTTCATTCATTCATTCTATCTTCTTTTTTTTTTATTCGTACCATTCGAGAAAGAACCCTCGTCCCAGAATTAACGAACCAAATTAAAAATTGTAATGCAACGCAAACAAAACGAAACGCATTAACATTGAAATTAATAATAACAGCAACCCTTTTATGCTGAGGCCGCCGCGGCTGCTGCTTTTTTTTTGTTGTTGTTGTTGCTTTTAATGTATATGTCTTAAAAGAAACGGTAACATTAAAGGAGAAAGCGTTTCAGAGAAACAAAAATATGCGTGCAATAAAAGAAGGAAATGTTGCAAACAACAAAAAAAAATGCTTTATGTTAATGAGAGGAGAATGAAGAAAAAAAATGTAATTTACGAACGCTCTTCTACGATTCAACGGACGAACGCATCAAACTCATACATTATAGTATCATTTAAAGGGAAGAAATGAATTGTGGATTCATTGTGAAATATCCCTTTCTTTTTTCCCTTTTCTATGTTGGAATCTTATTAACCTACTTCTCGCTTAGAGTGAATTCATATTACATGATTATTTTCACTCTCTTCTCTTGTTTCACTAAAGAAGTCAATAAACAAATCTGCTTAAGTAATTGCTTCAAGTCTCAACGTTTTCTTTTTATACGGATATAAATTATAACATAAAGTTGATGAAATCATGACATTT